AACCTATAGTTTGTAAGTTTATAAAAGATGAATTCAGAACCAAATACATATTATATTAAAAATTAGGATAAAAAGTATATGAAGGATAAGATTAAAATGAATACTGGTATTATATGAGTCGAAAGACACTAAATCTCCCAGTTCTTCCTTTTAATAAGGTGTTTTGGTAATTAAAAAATTACTATCATACAAATGTATCTTCAATTGGTTTCTATAATCATTAAACTACATAAAAGATCATCTGGAAAGGACAACTGGGACTTTGATGTTCAATATTATCATAACAAAGATTTAATACAATTAAGGATTGAATCAAATTTATGGTTATACATTAGTACATGGTTATTATTTTGAATTACTAAAAAGATTAAATCTATACATCTAGTGCTCCACGGGTCTGAGATATGAGAGATAATTATCTTATATTTGCTGTAGCTTGGTAACCAAAGGTGTTTCATTTGACATCATGTATAATATGAAAGAATGATTTTGCTAGTCAGTAAAGTAAAACCTACTCTGATAACTATACGTATTATTGGCCATGCTTTATAAAATGTTTGCTAAAACTCACTAGTAATAAAAATATCATGGGGGCTGGGGATTTAGCTCAGCGGCACAGCGCCTGCCTGGCAACGCAAGGTCGTGAGTTCAATTCTTGGTACTGTGAAAAAAACCAAAAACCAAAAAAATAAAAAATAAAATATCATTAGCCTTTAAATAAATTTTTACAAATTTGAATTTGAACATTGTTCAGCATCATTAATGTACTTGAGAGAACAAACAATGCAAACATATTTTGATGATTTCTGGTTCTTGTGAAGACATACAGTTTTATATTCTCATTGTATGTAAACATTTTTAAACCTTTTTAAGTGTGAAAATTACAACTGCTCTCACTATGATTATTGCAAGGAGGTACAATACCCAAACAAGAACAAAAAGTATGGAACTCATAACAGTTGCAATGTGGGGACACTCATTTTGTTGTGAGAAAGTTATGCCTCCTTTGGCATTCGCCCTAACTTGTTTACAAATTTTGAGGAGATATTTAGTAAATAGGAAGTGTTATACACACCACTGATGTGAATTGCCTCTGTCTGTTCTGCCTTCAGTAGCACAGAAATAGAAATTTTAACACAGAAATCTACCTCCTCCTAAGTGCCCCATAAATCACTCTAAAACACCATGTAAGATTTTCTACTAACACAGTATTGAATCTGAAACTTAGGAAATAACCACACAGGCCCTCGTTACCAATCCACAATGATTAAAAGCATTAAATCCATCTGATTCCACAACTGCCAGATCACACACTAAATCTCATCTGTCTCTTTTACCAAACACAATATTAGAATTGCATTAACTTATATTTCTCATTAGAAATCCAGACTACATGCTATAGAAATGCCCTTACAAGGTATCGTCTCTCAGTCAGCCTGAGCTTATTTACTTATGGGCAGTTGATGAGTATTCATGGCAGACTATTTTTAATGGCATCAGTAAACTAGCTGTCATCTGTAATTTTGCAAGTTTCTATACATAGTAATTTGGAACACCATAAATGTGCCATCATAAACGGTATAGGGGCTAAATAGAAGAATGTTATGTAAGGATGTTATGATGGATACAGCTAACCCTAAAGTTATTTAGTAGGGAAAATTACATGTAAAAGCAGACTTATAAGATAGAGAATAGGGCCAAGGATGTAGTTCAGCCAGAGTTTGCCTGGCAAGTGTGAGATCCTGAGTTCGATTCCTGGTACAAAAAAAAAAAAGAGAGAGACATAAAACAAACAAGACACTATGTTCATATTTGTTGACTCTGTTGTGCATATGAATATTCACTGTATTATACTTTCAATTTTTACATTTAAAAAGTTTAAAGTTTTAAACTATTTTAAAATTCAAGTCTTACACTTCATTGGTGTACCTTTAAAAGTGGAAGACTGCTTATTTTTAAAATACACAGTCTGAAAACATAAAGAGAACCATCACCTTCATCTTCCTAGAAATTACTTTTCATATTAATTGAGTGTTTGATAGTTTCAATTTTCTTCAAAATAGGTACTTATATTTTCCATCTGAATTTATGACTAATTAGTACTCCCAATTAAACTTAAGGAAACATGAATTCAAGAATATTACTCGGATCCTTACGCAGTATACTTGTCTTTTACTCCACATTCTCTGGACCCCCCCCAAACTCTCCCTGTTTCTAGTCACTGTCTCCATTCACCTACTCTCTTCACAGTGAGAACAGGCCCTATCATATTCAACACTTATTTCAAAGCCTTCGGGCCCTTAAAATGTATAAGGAAGTATTTTAATGTGGAAGAGAAAGCTATCAAAATATGTGTGCCTTCCAGAAAATCATGGAGTGTTCAGGTTTTGTTTTGTTTTGCTCTGTTTGGAAGGCACATTAATGAAGCACTATAGAAGCTTTGCTGAACCTTAGAGAATAAAGAGATGAAGAAAAAATTTTAGACCTAATCAGTATCTTGTCATCCTTCCCTCTGGATTTTCATAATACACAGTGGTCATACCAAAGCTGCAAACACCGGGGTATTTGTTATCTGCCCCTAAAACCACCCAGCTTTCCTATATACAGCTGTTGACAATTTCTTACTGAAACAATGTTACTGGATATATACTTCTATTTATTGTTGCTTTTGTTAGATAATTGCTTTTTCTAGGTATATTTTAACTTCAACAACAAATATACCATCAGTGAACAACAAAAATGAGCTTCTTATGAATGTAATTTTCACCAAAATATCACTCCGTCATTTGACTTATGTTTATTCAAAATTGGCTCTCTTTTTATGACTTCAAAATGCATACTATTAAAATGTTTAAATTTGGAAAGCATTCAGCATGTCAAATTATCTGGGAGTTTGAAATGTTAAGTACATTGTTTAAAGTGTTGCACTTGCAAAAAATTCGCTTATTCTCCGGCTTTGCAGAGAAGTATCCCTAAAAATAAATGTATGTAGTGGCTCACTACCACACAGAATCAATACCCATCTATTTAACTTGCTAAGACAATGTAAATTAGTAACTTCCAGCCAGATGTGCGATATACACATCAAACAAACTGCAACCTGTTCATTATGAAAATCCTGTCAACACACACAGAGCCACTTGATGACATTTCATCTAAAGCTGTTTCCACATTTGCAGCTATAAAAATTGTTCTAAGAATTTCTATACAAGGAATTGGGGCTGAGACTCATAAAAGGATAATCAATCTCAGCTTTTCATCTTGTGTGCTTGTGTATAGATGCTTCTCTGTGTTTATTTCTATTTTCATTCAAAGCTACAGAATGTCCAGAAAAAACGTCTATGATGCTACTTTTCCTTCTATAAATCATTTATCCCCATTACATCTTTTTAAATCTGATGTGAAGTTGATTGTCTGATTCTGCAGCTCTGACAAAGTGTATAAAGACTGACACAGTCAACAGAAGAAAAAAAGAACACTTAACCACTGGAAAAAATGAATATTTCAAAATGACTCCAAACATAAATTAAGTTTACCCGTTGGGAGGTCTAACTTGCATTCAGATCATTTATAGGGGTATGTGTGACTATATACCCTGCTGTTTGATAAAGAATGATTACTAAGCACAGGCAACCACCAGAGAATAGTGTGTATGGATAATGCTTGTGATGTCTCAGACATACAAGGCACCGTCTTAAAGAATGTCCGTTTCCTTTCCCTGGTAAGCAGACATAATTTTTCACCCTTTAACAGTTCTGCTTCACAGAGTGGCTTATTTTATGAGTTATGCTTTGCCATTTTCTCTTATGTTTATTTTAGCACTAGGAAAACTGAACTCCTAAAATAGATTTTTATGATACTCAAAACAATGGTATGCTTTCTGCTGTACACGAACATACACAACCTTCTTGCTATTACAAAATTCTAATCATGTTTGCTTTTAGCCTTGTTTACTAAAGTGAGAGACGTTAAAGGATTCTTCCTAATAACTTGCTATTATTCTTAAATACTGGATCCTCACCTAACCAAATTCATCTTCTGAGTCTCTCGGATGAAGTTTTCTTATTAAACAAGGCAGAGCAAACAATCTTATTGGCAATCATATTTTTAATTTGGCAATTTAATGTGGAATTCAACCAGTTCTCAACCTCCATGTATGATCTGATTGCGAAGAGCACCCCTTAACCAACATCCTAATATCAAAACTGTTTCTTCTAAGAAGTAAACAATCCCTGGGGTCCCCTAAAATCATAAAAATTTCAAACTCTACTCCTCCAAATCAGCTCTTCGAACACAAGAGTTCTTCATAAAGGCTTCACCCCTAAACAGTGTGACGTTCCCAAGCACTGCACGGAACGTGCTCTGCTCCCAGTCGCAACAGGCCACGTGACCAGGCCGAGGGACCCACGCCACTGCAGCCGGGGGCTCCGGGACCCAGAGGGAAGGAGGCTCGCCGCGCTGGTCCGCGCCGCGGGACCGGCCAAGCCTCTGGGGTCCCGGCCCCAGGCAAGGCCTGCAGCGTCAGCCCGCGACCCTCTCTTCCTGGGGTTAAGGCCGGACCCTCCCGGTCACTTAAGCTCCCCTCCCGCCCCGTGCTTCAGAGGCTTCACTCGGGCGCAGACTGTTTAAAATTAAGGACTTCAAACCCCAGAGCTAAAAAAGTGAAACAGATGTCCTGGTTGCTAACCATAAACGGCTCCGCGCGTCCGATCCTTGCCTCTGCCTTTTTTTTTTTTTTTTTTCTTTCTGCCTGATTAAATTTTATTTAATGCAGAGTTCGCTTAAAAGGGTGAGAGAGAAAAAGAAAGCCAATAGGGACTGCGATGCGAAAGCTCCTAAATCTTCTGGGAAATAACGAAGGACCGACCGGTCTTCATTCAGACGCCCGGGCCAGATCTGCCTCCTTCCCGCCCGCCAGCACCTGGGGTTCGCGCGGACCACCCCCACCCGGCCGGCCTGGCGTCACAGCGCCCCTCGCCCCCAGGCTCCCCTGCACTCACGTGAGGACGTAGTTGACGCTGACGATGCAGTGCGGCCGCGACGAGCGGCTGTTGTGCACGATGGTCGCGTAGCTCTGCACCCACACCCAGCCGCCGTGCTTCGCCAGGAACCTGTAGTACTTGGTGGTCACCTGCCCCTTCACCAGCACTGACGGAGAGACAGAGGAGGGGCGGCTACCTCAGCCGGACTCGCGCTGGTCCCAGAGGCCCGGCGGTGGGAGTGCGGACCCCGGGTGGGCCCTGGTGACCGCAGGCTGGAGGCCGGGACTGCAGGCAAATCCCTGATCGTGTGGACTGTTCTATTAAATTCCCTCCGACCTAGAATCCCTCATAGTTGTGTTAATAGGGTGGCCCATCACTGGGCCTGATCTCTAGGATTAGCAATTGGGGAATACTTAAAATTGAGGATTATTGGGGCTGGGGATTTAGCTCAGCGGCACAGCGCCTGCCTGGCAAGCTCAAGGTCGTGAGTTCAATTCCTGGTACCGGAAAAAAAAAAAAAGAACCTAGTGTAAAACTGAGGATTACGCCCAGATTGTTTCCTCTAACTATGAAGGTAGTAAGTACTCTTTCCCAGTCTCCGGGGAGTAAGCTCAATGCAAAGCTATATTAAAAGTCCGAGGTGAGGTGGTGCAGGCCTATGTACCTAACTACTCAGGAGGCTGAGGCAGGAAGATCATAAATTCAAATCTAGCCTGGGCAGTATAGCGAAACAGTGTTGCCATTCTTTAAAAAATTAAAAAGGGCTGGAGAGGTAGTTCAGTGGTAGAGCGCCCCTGGGATCGACCCCGTGTACAGGGGAGAGGGAGAAATAGCCAAGGAGATTCCGTGCATGGAAAATAGGGAAGCATGTCAATAAGAGGATAAAACTCCTCCTGGGGAAAATTCGCGCAGAAACGCCTTTTCGACCAATGTTAGCTGTCTCTAGAGGGTCCAGTGTGGGAGTAGCTCCTGTCTGGCCTCAAGTACCCCCACTGCCGCCTATGTAGGACTCCCACCGGTGCATTTGCGTGGACAGCAATCCCCCACCCCCACCCCCGGCCCCGCCTCCGCCTCGGGCGCGCGCGAGGGTTGCTGGGTGCAGGACAGGGAGGTGGCTTACGCAGGTGGTGAGCGCAGCGCAGGTGGAAGGTGTCGCAGCCGTGCACGTGGTGGTACAGGGTCTTCTCGATCAGGTCCTGAGGTTCATAACCCGTCAGCTCCGCCACCCTGCGGAGAGCAATCCCCGCCCTCAGATTGAGTGCTGGGGCTGTTGCCCGCTCCCCAAGGCCTTCCCAGACCTAGGTGCCAGCCCAGAGAAGGACCTGGTCAGTAGCCTAATCTGCTAGACTGGCTCCTGCGATCGCAGGACGCTCTCCCTGGGAGCTCTGCCTGGCGCAGCGGGGCGGCCCTGCGCTAGGGGGCTGTTCCCGCACCTGGAGTCCAGGAAGATGAGCTTCATGTCAAGGCTAGCGCGGAACATGAACATGTTGCTGTGCAGCTTGATCTCGGTGACCGCGCTAGGAGGCAGCGAGTGGCCCACGGCCACCAGGCCCACGTTCTGGTAGCAGCCGTCGAAGGGGGACATGTCCAGGCTGTACTGGCGGATCTTCAGGTAGCCGCTGCAGTGAATGACCTGTAAGGGAGTGAGGGGGGACCCTGAGATCACGCCGAGGTCAGGAAGGGCCTCAGAAGAATGGGAAAGGGGTCTAAACGTGTTGAGAGACTGTTGGGCCAGGAATCTTGTGTGCGCCACGCCTTTCTACTGAATTGTGTAAAGGAAGCGCATACCTGGCTGACCTCACCTGGGAGCTCCTAAAAAAACAGCTGTGCTTGAGTCCCACAAACCCTATTGCATACTATTCAGGTCCTTGCAACCTGCTTTGTAATGACACTCAATCACATTCACCTTGGGAATCACAGCTTCCAGCTAAAGATCAGGTTCTTAGTCTTTGAGGATACAAACTCTGACACTATGACTAAGTAGGAATTCATCAAAGTTACTCGCCATTTCAGAGACTTAGGGTCCATCTCTAGGTCTCTAAGTCTCTGAGACCTAGGGTCCATCTCAGAGTCTCTGGGGCCGGTAAGTATCCAGGGCTACTCAGACTTCTATTGTAAGTGTAGATTCCCTGGAGGTTCAGGGAGCATCGTGGTGCTCCCTGAACCATTGGCGTGATGCATTTTGATGCCCAGAAGGAGTGAACCACTACCACGCAGACTCCTGGTGCTGGGCTCCTGGACCACATAGACGTGCCAAGGGGCATAAGTTTTCCAGCTCAGACACGCACCTTGTAGCCACCGCAGGTGAGTCCAGCGTTCCGCTTGGCCAAAACGCACTTCATCCTCAGGAAGAAAGAGCGCTCGATCTCATACTCTGGGAGAGGAGAGAAGGCTCAAGATGCGAGACAGACACAGATGCGGGTCCCAGCTAAGACTAGGGGAAAGCCGCAAGCTGACTCCCGCGGTCCCCCGCCAAGGAGAGCACGTGCCTGGCTTACCCTGTACGAAGTGAGAGTGGTACGGCTGGTGTGCGGTGAGCACCGCAGTCATCTCATCGTGGTCTGCTGGGTGAATGTATTCATAAATGCTGTTTCCAGTCAGCTCTACCTGTAAAGAAGAGGGTATCGCTGTTTCTATGTTAGAAGAAAGCCCGTGAAGAGGTAAAAGCTTGGGCCAAGGGGTCCCAAAGGTCCATGAAGAGAGCCAACAGTCTGGAATTGGCCCTGAGCTCTAATTCCACCTCTACTGCTTTCTAATAATCTTTTGTTTATTACCTTCCTTATTAGCTTCCTTATCTGGGAATTAATAATAATAGTGGTAGCAATGATAACAATAGTAGAACTAGTAGCTTCCTGGCAGTGTTGTAGTAAAAAGATCATGAGATAAGTATGTGACCTCCTCCCACAGTGTCTGGCTTATGGTAGGATCTCAAAAAAGTAAGGTTTGTATGGGCCCAGGGTCAAAGCTAAAAGATAAAGAAGCTCAGAAACGGGGGAGACCTAAATCTATTTAAAGAATCCTCCTGCCACCAGAGAGGTTTCCAGCCCTAGAAATTCAGACATAAAGGATTGTGGAAACATCACACACAAACTACTGCTTCCAGCTCTGCTTGGAAACACCGCAGGCTGGAAATGTGGACCACTCACCTACCTGAGAAAGACCCAGGTGGACTGAGGCTGTCTCTGAGATGTACATGATCTTCCCATCTGGGGCCACCACAAAGATGAAGCCATCCAACGTCTGGGGAAGCAGAAATAGAGTAAATGGAGAGGCCTCTGGGCCATCTGGAGAAATGGGGGAAGGGAGGACAGAAATTAGGAACATTTGCCAGAAGAGCAGAGAGATGGAATGGAGAGAAACTGTCAGGAGACAGGATACCAAACCAGCCACAACAGTCCCCTCACACACACACCCTGGTCGTTCATTCCAAATCTGTAGGCATACGGGGCATGTAGTATACTGGGACACATCCAGTGGAGTGGTAGGCAAAGATAATGCTCTATAAAACTGAGGATCTACTGAAATGGACAAAGAAACATCTGTTACTGACATACATAAAAGTTCTAGGGAGAAAAAAGTTATAGCCATGGATAAGCAAGGGGTTAGGTCCTCGGAAAGATGATGATCAAAAGAACCAGAAAGTTTCTGTGTCACTCTTGAACGGCTTTGTGGTAGTGTTTGTTGTCTATAAAGAAAAGAATAGTGGCAGGGCACAGGAAATCCAGGGTAGGAAGCACTGGTCCACAGGGAGGATCAGGCAAGCTGAAGTTTACAGGCAGAAGGAAGCTGGCCAGTGGTTCTGGAAAGAGTCCAGGATAGGGGAATTAGAAGATGGGAGGCTGTGTGAGCAGCAAGTCCACAGAGTGGTGATAGCGTACCTATGTTTATGTATGTTTACAGTGAAGCATCCGTCTGACAGGCTCTCCACGGAGGGAAGTTCAGACTTTCCCTGACCCCCTTTTATCTGTGAATGAGTCTCCACAGTCCAGCAGTGGAGACCTAGGATAAATCAGATTCTTCCCTCGAGGAGCTGAAAGTCCAACTGGGGAAAACAGCTTTAAGAGAGATACAAGTGATCACATGGCTGAACAGAGAGCAGTGAACAGATAGAAGACCTAGAAGCTGAGCAACCAGAGGTCAAAGGGAGCATCAGAGAGGCCATAAATGAGATGATTCAGCAGGAATTTGGAGAGGAAGCTTGGAGAGAAGGCAGAAAGAGCACCATAGAAAGAAGTAATAATGTGGCTAAGGTAGAGATGGGGGCTGGAGGAATGATGGATCTGTGTATTCTGAGGTGATGAGTTTTGTGCACCAGGGATGAGACTCAAGAAGTATACCCACATTGCTTTTTTGGAGTGTGGAGCGTCCATCTGAGTAATGTAGACTTGTTCCTGCAGACATAGGGGTTCTAACATAGGCCTCCAAGCATGAAAATACATGATTAGATGTATTTCTGTTTGTTCCTGACAAAGTATGAATGGTGATCCTTAGGTGGAAGCAATTGAGATGAGGAGATCAGAGCAGGTAACTGCAGTAGAAATAGTCAAGCCTGAAGTGGGTGGTCACAAAGAGAATGAAGAAAGTCTGATTCAAAGATTGTACTGTGTATGGACTCCGTGCAGATTGGTGGTGGAGAAATTTAGATCGAGTTTCAAATTTCAGTAAGGATATAGAACTCATTCATCAAGATTAAAAGTTCAGAGACACAGTGAAGTTTTATATGGTGGATATCTAGGTGCGAGAGACAATGTATTCTTGTCTTGGAGACGCTAGACTTTCAATACATGCAGATTTCCACTTCGATGTGTCCACTGGACCATAGGAAATAAAGGTCTGGAGCTCAGAAGAGGATCCGCAGTGGAGAAACCAGCTAGAGTCATGTGGAGAAAAGACTTGATGTGGTGACATTGGCTGAGATCATGCAGGAGGTCTTGGAACTGAGAAAAGACACAGAGCTAGAGCACTGTGAAAATTCCATCTTTTGCATAACAGTTGGAGGTAGGAACAGTGAGGAGTGGGAGGGGAAGGGAGAGAATGTGGAAATAGTGCTGTCTTAGAAAGAAAAGAGGAGACTGTCCAGTCATCAGGATCACCTCCTGCGGGTCTCTGTCAAAATGTTACCTTGGTGAGGCCCTGGCCAAACATTCTCCACTTTAAATGGCAAAACTAAAGCAGAGTTCCCTCTTTCCCCTTCTCTCCAGAGCACCTGTGCCACCCAGTACACTATGCAGTGCACCTCAGTGGGTTTGTAAGGCTGCTGTCTTTGGAATGCACGCTCCATAAGGGCAGGGCTTTGAGCCTCCTGTATTTATGGGATGAACAAGTTCAGGTAGGATAAGAGGTGAGCGTCTAACTCTTGGTATCAGAATGTGGTGGGGCTTGTGCCGGGCAGGATAGGTGAAAGAGATGCTAGACTGTAGAGATGTGGGAGTGAGTGAGAAGGGAGGGAGTTACTAGAATTGCACGTGTAAGTCAGTCTTGCCACAAGTTTGGGATGGAGAAGGGCAAAGAGATTGGGCAAGGGCTGGAAGGTGTAAAAGACTGAGTTTTATTCTCTTATTTATATTGCTGGGAGAAATTAGTCAAGAATATGAAAAACTTGGGACAGGTGATAGTGGGACATGATAGAAGGTGCTTCAGCAAAGGGAATTACAGAACCTTTCTAGATAAATTCACAGTGATGGAGGTCATTGAGGGAATCCTCTCCTAAACCATTTCTTTGTTTTGTGAAACTAATATCTGTTGGTCCCTGGAAGGGAGAAGAGAATGGGTAGCAGTGGGACATGAAAGCTGTCTGGATCCTACAAACAGATGTGGCTTCTTAGGCCCCAGGCTCCGTTAGAGGAGCTGCCAGTGGACTTGAATAGTAATAAAGAGGGGGTGGGGGTGGGGGACAAGTGTCAAAGCTAAAAATGCCACGGGGGTTATTATTTAAAATATTTGTTTTGTGATTTAAGTCAGCAACAGGCAATTTAAACCAGTGTGCACTGCAAACAAGAAGGCAGTGGGCACCTCACAGTGTTAAACTCATTACCTGGGGCGTGTCTGTGTCTACCCAAGGGTTTGTGCAGAGCCTGAGCAGGCCTGCGACTGGGCTGTCAGGAAGAGGGGGGAGCCTGGGAACAACAGGGAGGAGATGAAATGAGTTGTAGACACAGCTGGATCCGGAATGTGTAGGCTTAAAATACTGATGGGCATTTCCACCAGATTCCTGTGATTTCCTTCGCAAGTTTCCTTCAGAACCTTCATTTCAGATGGGTCTGAGGCCTGCCCTCCTAGGCCTGGCTGCAGTCATTCCGATTTTCTGTGTCCAAAAGTGACAAAAGCACCCTCTCCCTTTGGCCAAGAGTCTTAGAGGGGCATTACTGGGCTATTTTCTAAACCCCAACTCTTACTTATTCCTTTATGTCCCTCTCAGGTTCATAAAATTCCATTTGCCCTTCCACACTCAGCTAAGAGCTGAAGTTTTACCTTTGAGGGAGCTGTGGGGTTGAGAGATCCCTGTCTAAGTTCGAGCCTATTTATTTACTTTTTTTATTTATCGAAACTAAAAGCCCAGCAGAGCAATAGGCAGGCACAGGGACCTTGAAACACACATGGCACCAGAAGACCTGTGCCTATACCTGGAGTAGATGGGAACCCAGTTCACGGCCAACGTTGTCCAGGGGACTTGTGCGACTGGAATGGCCCCATGCCTCCCCCAGCCCTGTGGAGACAGAAAAACAACCTTTAGCAAAAAAAAAAAAAAAAAAAAAAGATGCAGCTGGAAGTTTGGGACTTGTCAGAGTTTATGGTTTGTTCTACATGGTCTCAGGAGAGAACACCACTGAGCACCATCCTTACTGTCACCCACTATCTGCGCCATAGCCTAGGAAATGAGGGAGCATGGAACACAAGAACTTGTACATTTTGGCCTTCTTCCCATTGGCTTCTGAGTGGAAGTCGGACCTGCCCCACCCGGCCAGACCCAGTTTTTTGGGAAAGAAGGGCCCTCTTCCTGCACAGGCCAAGCAGGACCTCAAGTGGCCTCTATCCTGGAGGAGCCTGAGGCACTACACCCAGCTATCATTTTTGCAGGAGTTCACTAGTGTGTTTACAGGGATGAGGGACACCTGATTTCTTACCCAAAACTTTGTCCTTATCAAGAACTGAAGGACATCTCCAGACACAGAGGAAGCTGTTGCCTCCCAGAAAAACCTGAATAATAGGCCAGAGTCATCTGGTCCCTGATGGTCTTTCTGATTGGCTGTGGGGCTTTCTAGTCATTCTCCTCCTTAGCCTGTGACTTTAATCCTCTATGGAAAACGGAAAATCCCATTTGTTTACAGTAGACTCCCAGCCTGTGCTTACTGGCATTCCTGGCAATTCTCCTCCTCTTTCCCCCTCCAAAGCCCAATCTTACACACCCCTCACCCTCGCCTCCCTTCCCCTCCACAAGGAAAAGGAAGGCTTTTCTTCAAGAAAAAGTGGGATTTTCTGAAGTCCGTTACTTTGAGGTGCTAGCAGCCTTCTAACAATATTTTCCTTCTTCCTGGATGTAAAGAATTTTTCAGTTTCTCTACTTCCCAGGTATCATCTTCTCTTAACAGCTCCATCCCCTCCTTGATGTTACCACGTTTGGCTCTTCTGAGGCTCTGCCACAAACCTCAGCACCATTCTGGAGCCGCCTAAAATATAAAGCACTCAACATTCACTGCTGATGAAAAAAATAGTATAACCTGCTCTATTACCTGTGTACAGGAAGAAATTTTTTAAAAGCAGAAGAAACTTGTGCAGACCTTTGGTAAACTATCCTTTAACAATGGAGCCGCTGAAATTATTTCACTAGATAGTTAAATTCCTTCATTGTTAGAACCACTGAGCAAGGTTTAACTGACCTTTTTTTTTTTTTTTTTTTTTTTTTTTTAAGGTGCTCTACCTCGTCCGGGGCCACACTCCTATTGCAATAGGGGGCTGGAAAGGCTCTTTCACAGTAAAAGATGGAGGTAGACACTTTAAAGGTGTTGGTCAGGAGCTGCTTCCTAAGCAAGCGATCAAAGCCCTGGCTACGAGGAACAGGAGCGCCCCTTAAGCTCCAACAGGGTCTTTCTGGGTGTTTGCACATCTAAATAAATCTAACGATTTCCCCGACGCTCTGCAAACACTGATGCTCCCGCCTGTGACTGGACTCCTCTCCCTCCCTCGCACAGATTGACCCCTCCTGACTCCCACTCCGCCCCCCGGCTACCCTCCCGGAGTGACTCCACTGCCCCAGTCCCTGCCGTCCTGCCGGACCATTCCAGGAGGGCACGCGTCGCGGTCACCTCTTCGCTCAGTCAGTTTCCCTTCGCTCCTCCTGATCCAGCCAGCCTATCCTTGTTTTCCGGCACCTGTACGTTTTTTGGTACCTGCTCAAAGGTACCACCCAGAAGGGGGAGGAGGGAGTTGGCGTCGAGCCTGCACTGGAGAAAAGGCTAAGGACCCTGCTGGAGTGACTAGCGCCCAGGTGGCCAGGCCCTAGGGCACCCCTGAAGCCTGGGAAGTCCTGAAACTCCCAGCTTCTCGGAGCGCAGACCGCACTCCCGCGCCTCGCAAGCGGGTTGGGCCATAGTGTGTGAGTGGGGAGGGCCCAGAAGAGTGCGAAACCTGCGCTGGGGTCAACGAATATCTTTAAATTTTTTGAGGGTCTCCAGAAATGGCCGTTCCATAGCAATGGTGTGACTCGCCCTGAGCCGTGCGGGAAGTGGGGGTGGGAGACTTTTCCCGAGCTCGCCAGCGCTAACCTCACTGTAGAGGGGGTGGCGACCTCAGTGGTATGTGCCCGGGGGGAAAATAAGACTTCCCCACAGGTTAATGAACAGCCCGTTGGGGTGCAGGTTAACAAGGGCCTGCCTCGCCCTCCCTTGCACACTCCCCGGACACACACCTTTTAAGGGATCTTTTGTTTTTACAGAGCATTGCTTTCTCTTTTTGTTCCCCCTCGAAATATCACAGGGTTCGGTCTGGGTTAATATTTGATGAGGCACTGGCTACCTTGCTTACCTGTCAGCCGCTCCTGATGTAGTGCGGGGCTGCGCTTGCCCTTCGGGATGCGGAGGACACCTCCCTCCGCAAGCCCGATCCCGGTCACCCCTTCTCCATAGCCTCCAAGTGACCCCCTTGCCTGCTGCCTTCGGTAACGCGCTCTGGCACCCAATTTCATTTGGCGAGGGGGTAAGCTGAGATTTCGTTTCTGCACTTGACCTACCGCAGAAAATTCGCAAATCCTTTGATTGTCTGTTTAAAATGAGGAGGAAACCGGCTCCCTTTGCGGCGGGATTACAGTGGGAACAAGATCTAAAGATTCTCTTGTAATTCGGTGAGGCCGAGGGAATAGGGTTTTGCAAAGGAGAAAAGGAGCTCTGCGAGGGAGGCGATAACTAAATCGGGTTTTAGACAAAAGGATTTTCCCCAGCTAAAGTGGCCGAAGACAAAGGAAAACATAATCTATTTTGGAAGATTTCCAAGATATGCCACATTAACCTTGGCAGATAAATTTTGCTTTTCCCAGCGCCCCCCCTTCCCTTAAAGTCTGGTTTATCATATTTACATAAGTAGCATTACAAGGGATGTATCTATTATGAATCTAAAGGGCTAGCTCACATTTCACGGGAAAACCCAGGCAAGTTTCACTGTTGCTTTACCCTGGGTACTGGGTTGAGCCATTTCCATTTAAATACCCCCTGACCCAAGGATTACCTCAATGGACTGACTGCACGGGTTTTGTAATTTCCTGAAAATGAGATTTCGATTTATAAAACAAGAAACCAATTAGTAACCAAATGAGGCGAAGTAGATCCACTAAAATTGACCTAATCCCACAGGCACCATTTAGGCCCGTTCTTGGCGAATGAATGATGAGCCCCAGTCTAGCGTGAGCTCAAAGCATCATCCAGCTGTGTTATTGCAAGCAGCAAAAATAAATTGATCGAGCTTTTCCTTCCAAATGAATTTCATACCCTTGACAACATATAGATTACAGACCAGGCATCCTCACCTCCTTGACTCAGACAGACAGAGGAGGAAGAGAAGAGTTTTTTCTACTGTTTTGTCTTGTTTTTCCTGTTAATATATAAACACAATCTTTCCATGGAAATTGTTTCCTTCTTGTAGCCCTTCCCAGGGACCAATACCTCCCGGTAGATGGTGTTATGACTTTTAGGCAAAAGGGTAAGGCAGAAGCCCTACAAGTTGTTGACAGTCACTATCACAAGCTGGGCACTTTGGGGAAAAGACCTAGGAGGCTGAACTCCTCAGACCCTGCAGCAGCTTGCCCCAGCCGCATGGGTCTCTCCTGGGCCAAGGGTAGAGGAGTTCGGGAAGAGGCTGGCTCGGAAGTAATCCTGAAGACCCCAAATCCCTTGCGTCCTGCAGAGCCTGCTCCTCGTTGCTGAAGCACAGTCCAGGCGGTCCTCTGGTGGGGCACAAAGCAGCTTTGGTCTTTCCACTCCACTCGTCTGAGACTGGGTACTCCGGAGAGGGGACACAGAATGGGCACTCCTAGTTGAACCAAGCTCCTGGAGCAGTTTCTGGGCAGAAGCCCTTCAAACACTGAGGCTAGGAGGCAAGGCGTACCTGCTCCCTTTTATAGTGCTTGGGTCGTCTCGGGCCGCGGGTGAGTGTGGCAGAGCTCCCAGGGGCATCGGTGACTGTGTGCCTACCCTCCGCAATGTGTGCGCTGCCCTCCCCTGTTTGCTGCTGAGGGGCCAGAGACTCTGCACCCCACCCCGGGAATGCACTGTGTGGGTAAATCTTGTGGAGAGCTCTGTCAGCGTGCTGGGCCCTCCTTCTGCCCTTTGAATGCTCCACTGGCCCCCAGCTTAGGCTTCCAGTTCAGGACCAAGCTGCCAGCCAACCTGAACCTGCTGCTAATGAACGAAATCCCAAAAACCAAAGCAGGGCAAAGTTCGGCCCGGTCCAGATTAAAACTGAGGACAAACGCATACGGGCGTGTGCTGCGTGGTGCACAAGTGTTGACGAGTTTTCCCAGGACTTTGGGACTTGGAGCGTGGCGCGGACTTGGCGATGCCGCCTCCCCACAGTCCCAGCAAGGCAGAGTTGCAAGACAAGAGGATCTTTCTTGGGTTCTACTGGGCTGCGGACACCCACGACCATACCCAGCTCGCCCTTGGGCACTACGTTATGGAACAGGAGCTCCCTTTAAAGTTTAGAGGACCCGGGTCTTCGGGTCAGGGACCGAGCAACTCGAAGGGAGGCGGCAGGTTCGCACCCGCACCCACTGGGATGGCGCTCGGAGCTCAGAGGAAAGACGTCGGGGAGCAGTGGGAGCCCCTGCGCCGCTTAGGGACAGTGTGGAGCTGTGGCACGCAGGACGCTGACCCAGCCAGCCCCGAGCTTCGGGGTGAGAGAGGTGCGGGGGAGGCCTCGATTAGATAAATGTCCAGGTCTGGCCACAGCCGCGGAGGACCAGGACTTGGGCGGTAAAGCCGCCCGTACCTACCTCAAACTTACTCTACTGCAAAACCTGTGTTCCTATTCGCCAAGCAGAAAAAAGCAGCAGGACCGCTTCAAATAATTAGGGTTCCCTTTCCTCACACAAAATGTAAAAGTCCATTCATCAGAGGCTGGTAATGCGTGATGCACTAAGACCATTACGTGTTCTTAGGGACTAAAGCTCATTTTCCTGAGAAATACCTGCGCCGACAGAGAAATGCGGCAAGAATCCGTGGGCTTGAGTTCTGTGACCCCGTTTGTCTGTAGAAGTTCGAAGCTGCCGACATTTCCAGAACAGAAACAACTCCCGAGAAATCAGCCTCGTCCTCTGTACATTTAGCTGGGAGTTAGCTTCAGGAGGAAAAGTGTACCCTGATTTAAAGACATCTTACCATAACTGTGAATTCTGGGTTTTTTTTTTTTTTCCTGTTGCTTTCTACTATTTTTATTAGTGTTCCTTCTCTTTAAAAAACAAATGTACTTTTAAACCAAATCTACAATTTCAAGCACATAAATCTGCTTTGGAAATACTCTGCACAGAGTTTAGTTCTGCACTCCACATTTTAAATCAACATCAAAACTGGAATTAAACAGAGAAAAGCAGCATGAAGCATAAACTGTAGTTAAAGACTTTTCAATGAGAAAAACTTCTGTAAGAAAATAAACATGGAAACCTAATGCTCAATCATTTCTCTGAGCAGCAAGGAAAACAGCCTTAAATCACCCATCCACGTGGGAAATGGGACCTCTTTTTCTTTTTCAAGTCTCTGCCCATATATATATATAGTGATTAAGGATTTCAATCTTGAGGTGAATGTTCTAGAAATAATCTGTGAAGGTTTGTTTAATGGCCTTTGACTTTTGTAAGGTTTCTTTTTTTTTCCCCCCGAGAAGCTAGTAATTGCAATGCTTTGACTATTTTTTAAAAGACATTTTGATAATGATATGGTAGAGCGATATTACCAGGATTCTGAATAGCAATGAATTTAAAAACCACGTGTGATCCTGAAAGTTTATTCTGCACACCTCTGTCACCAGCCAAAATTGTATTAGTGCTGAATTATGGATATGTACTTCTTTTTAGCTGAATTTGTCCTGTTTTGTATCTGTAGCAGGTCAAGCCATCTCTTTTTTACCTGCCTCCTGGCTTTCACTGCAACAAAGATTTATACATTTCTATATCCCTCAATTTTTCCTTTGCAAGGCTGTTTTAGAATAGACTATGTTATCAATCAGGAGATGTACACTTTTAATGATTTCACAGTAGTATTCCTTGATTTCTTTCTTTTTCTATTAATCACCAATCTAGGGGATTTATTCTTAGATTATTCTTAGATTTATTCTTAGATTAATAGATCTAAGATCTAATAAATCCATTCTTAGATTTATTCTAGATTTATTCTTAATTATTTCAGGTACTCATATCTCACTGCTGCATTCCCTCTTTCTTTCTCTTACCCACGCCTGAGCAGCTCAATATTGTGTCTACTAAGGTAAACTAAGGGAAAGTTGAAACAAGGCCCAAACAAAGCCACTAGACACTAGAGGGGGGAAATGTATTCACTGTATTCAGCAAAGGTCGTGGAAAGGAATTACCTACGTTTTAATGATTTCTTCTTTCTTTCAAATGTAAGTACTGAAGAATTTTTGTTTTTTCATTTAGTTTATAGCCTTTAGGCATTACAGGATAATATAGATAAAATGTGATACAAACATAAACTGAACTTGTACATTGTGTTGCCTATAGTTAAGTCACCAGACATATAATTTCATTCTGTGTATCTTGCAAAATCTATGTTACATGGAATATGATGTTTACCAAGAGAAAATAGCTATCCTTAAGACAAAATATAATGGAGGATCGTCTATGTACTAGGATTATTTCAAGACAGAAGTAAAGAAGAACTTTATCTTCAAATTCTATGTTGCTCGTACATAAAATTACCATCATACAAAGTATGCATTTCCTCCACTGCCTTGGATCCTAGTCTCACCCAGCGCTGCCCGGAGTCAATGCTGAACCCAAATTTAGCACCCCCTGCAGGCTGTGCCCGGTTCTGTGGCCTGTCGCTATTTAACTCCTTTTGAGCATTCCTTTGAAAACTCTTGGGTATTGTTTTCGTTTCTTGCTGTATTTTTCTTTACTATTTCAATGTGCTGTGTTTGGATTTGGGGGTTTTTAAAAGCATACACTCTCAAAATGAAAGCCTCATCCCTACGATCCAGCTGTTCCGATGACCCTGTCTGTCTCACAGGGTGGGGGCTGTGGGTGAGTTAAGAGCTCAGCAGTAGCTGGAGAAATAAAGGATTGGCCCAGAGTTCACACATCCCTCCTCCCTGAAACTCACGCTCACCCACTGAGGATGGGCCAGGCGGACGGGGCCCAGGGCTCGGAGAGGGGGCGCTGGTGAAAGCACGAATGCTGGCTAAAGTAGCCAAAGGGGAGCGGCCTGGCCGTTGGGGGACTTCCAGCAGTAGTCTTTATGGGGTTTTCTTTAAAAATAACTAGAAGTTGCCTCTAAAAGTCCCACACTGGCTATGAGTTTACTTTTTGTTTCTCCTGTTTTGTTTCTATTAGGACACGATTTATAATTTGTGGGATTAGCCCTTACACAAGAAAGCTTGCTCTCGTAACAACAACAAAAACAGCCGGGTCCTCTCAAGGCCACGCCTGCTCTGGGTCAGCATGAAATAGACTAGCGTCCCAGCCCAGCGACTCCCCGGGCTCTGGGGTCCCGCGTGGTGCCCGCCCCAGAACACCGACCCGCTATTCTTCTCCTCCTCCGATTACTAGCAGCCTCACAAGCAGCACCATATGCTGCTTCTGATCAAACAGCGAGCGACATCGGCACCGATAATTGACGAGACCCGCTAGAAATCACGCAGAAAGGGAGCCCACTGAGACCGCAGGGGTTGACAAATCACTGCTAATAATCCTGTTAGGAACAGCGCGGCCAGCGGGGTTCGCAATAGCTTTATTTTTATAAAGTAGGCGTTGACAGTATAAAAGACAAGGAGATCTCTTTTTTTAAACAGAAGGCAGTGTGGCATAATGGTAATTTTCCCAGCACAATTTGGATAGAAAATATGGATTTAAAATACATAGATCCTCCCTCTTCTTTTTCTTTTAAAAAACTTTTCAGGTACTTTCAGGCTAGATTCCTCTCTTCCTGTGGTTTCCACGGTCAAATGAGAACTGTTGAAGGAACCATTTTAAGAAGAATCGACTCTAAGAGAACTTTAGTTTGAGGGCAGAATTGAACTATAATTTTAAAGTTTTCTTGTAGCGCCCTTGACTAATTTTGGAGCATGTTTGGCAAGCTTGACATAAATATTAAGCAAAGTGAAACTCCAAACCCAATAACTACTTTCTCTCCCCATCCCCATTTCTTAAAAAAGAAAAAGAAAGAAAAGGAAAGGAGAAACCAAACAACTACAATCAACAACAAATCTTTATGGACCAAATAAAAAGTTCTCATTTTTAAATCGTTTCGCTTGGGTTGTGTTTGTTTGTCTATTAATCTCTCCTTCACCATCCAAATTTTGCTCTCCTGGCAAAAACATTTCTAAAACATTCTTTTAAAAATCTGTTATTTGGCTGCAAGCAAAGAAAAGAATGAGTAAATGGAAGAGAGAAGTGTCTTTTCCTTACTGAGTATTCATAGTTCCTTTTATGCGGTAGTGTTCCATGAAAGCTCTTCTGTTCTTACACAGCGAATGTTTATAATCAAAATATAATTTTTACATCATAGCAGCAGCTCAGCTTGTCTACCTTCTAGGCTTCCTCATTAGACAATTTTCCCAGAATCCAGTCACCAACTGGTCACCCAGATGATATTCTCTAAGCAAGCTAACCATTTAAATTCAATCTTATATATTTTAGAACTACCTCGTATCTTACAGATGATAATAAAGCCAGAGCAGCAAATCACCAAGCCTCACAGTTTCAGATTCTGAAAACGCCTTGAAAATTTAGAATAAATTTACTGCAAGCATCCAAGAGACTGAGTAAACTTGCGACATACTCACGAATATGCCTGTTTCTCATCTGCAGAACTACAGACACATACAGATGTTATTACCTGGCTTAGCCAGCTCCTTTACATGGGTTTATCTATACTTAGCAAAATACCCCATTCAGCATTGCCCCTGGCTTCTACTAGACACAGTTCCAGCAAGAGAAATAAAAAAGAAAGTCGTGTTTAGATTAGTGGTACCCTCAGTTGAGCCCAGTATCTGAAGTGTTGACAAAAGCACCGTTGGGCTCCCTCCCAACTGAACACATCTGATGGTGTGAAGACAAAGTATGAATGGAGAAACAGAGTCTGGAAAGGCAACAAGAATTCCAATTCAACCAGGACCTTAGTTAAGTAGCCCAAGCTAAACTTTCCTTTGCAAAGAGTGTGTATCTACTTCTTTGCTCAATAGAGTAGGCTCAATCCCTGGCAAATCTTCTCCCCCTTCTGCCTTTGACATCCGCTCTACACAAAGTCACTTACCTTCTGGGAACACCACTCTCATTTTGAGATAGCTGGTGGTGAGTCTGATTATGGATGCTTTGTCCAGCTGCGAGGTGATGGCCGAGGGCAAAGGCAATAATTTAGCCAGTTCATAAAACTCACTGTTTTCTTTCTCCCTCCTAGTCCGAGCAGCATTTTTGGACTTTTCTTTCATTGTGTCTGGTTCCCCCTTTCTTCTTACAGCGTAAACTCCACAGATTCATACAAAACCCAAGATCAGCTTTCAACTAGAGATCATACTAGGCGAAAACACAAACGCGGACATTGAATGAAAACCTGAAGTCTGCACAAGAGACAGTGTGCGGATGACAGTAAAAAGCCAGTGCAGCGAACAGAAAATATTTTCTTTGAAGACATAAGATGCAAGTGTAGGAAATTTGTTCATCCACGGCAATTTGGGCAACCCTGGCGGTCTCTAGATTTGAGATGCTGGCAGAACCCCTCAGGTTTTCTTCTATTCCGAGTTTTCTTCTATTCCGAGTTTTCTTCTGTTCCTCGCTGCAAACCCGGTTCCTTGGAAAATCGACATCATAATTCCCGACGGTTGCTCTTCAGTTTCTCGGCATTTGAGGCGGCTCCCAGCCCGTTTGGGAACAGGAATCCTGGATAATTCTTTCAGACCACTGCGAAGGCAACAGCATCAGAGCATGAGAAATCTGAGGCTCCCACTTTACCCCTCGCCCCAGTTCCAAAAAAACGGCCGGAAAGGGCCTCCGCACGCCTCGGCTGTCCTGGGCAGCATGAGGGGGGAGTGTTTTTGAGATGTGGACCGGACAGTGGGACCGGACCCCTGTACGCACTGTCCACACTCCCTCACCAGTGCCGGCTACAGTCTCCAGCCCCTTTGGAAGCTGCCCAAACAACAAAGCGCGTGTTTTCGAAGAGCGTCGGGAGACGTCGGCCGGGCCAGCGCCTGCGGTCCCGGATTCCTGCACAGCCGGCGGCGCCGTGCGGGCCCGGGACTCCGCAGCCCTGGAGTTTGGCTCCCTCCCTGACAGCGGTCTGAGGTCTGAGCGAGTCCTCAAAAAGCAGCGCTTAAAACGTCAAGCCCCTGGGGACCCGCGCGGCGACCCGGGGCTCCCCGCCCGGCAGGGGCAGGGGCTCGGGCTGGCAGTGCGGGTTAACAGGTGGCGCTGGCGACGGCTCCCTCGGGCGCGGGGACGCAGACGTCCCGCCCCAGCCTCGCCTCCCCCAGGACGAGCCGCGCTGGAGGCTCCAGCTGCACCTACCTTCGGTCCGCGCGGGCCGCAGAGGGTGCGGAGGCGCCCGCCCGCCAACTGCACGCGTGCCTGCGGCCCCACTAAGCACCTCCGCCGGCCTCTGCGCGCCCCACCGCCGGAGCGGAGCCCAGCACCCCCTGGCTCCTTGTGCTCGCTCATGAATGGGGGGGTGCCAGGCAGAAGGAGGATGCGGGCTTTGGGACTGGAGCACTGGTTTTAAAATCCTCCTCCTCGGTACTTGCTAGCAAGCCAGTGCTATTCCTAATTGGAAGCCAAAAGCGCCCCCCCGTAACTTCTTCATAGCTTACGAAATTTAGCTTCAACTTCACTCCCGGGCTCCCTTTCTCCCGCCTTCCCTCAATGCCACTCACAAGACTTCCTGCTTCTCATTGGCTCGGCGCCCAGGGGCGAGGCGCTCATTGGCCAATCGGGCTGAATGGCTGGGAAACGCCCCACGCCTGTCTAGCCCCTAGCCCGCTGCTCCGAGCTCCGCGTCCGACGACCCGCGTGGCCGCCAATGCGCCCAGGGCGCGGGGTCGACGCTGCCCCTCGCTGCTGCGGCTCCCAGCCTCCGGGTCCTGGGAGCTGTGCGCTCCCGGCGCGGCTCCGGCTCCCCGCGGCTGTCTGGGCCTCCG